GTAGCTACCGCTGCACTTTTACTATCTCTCTTCAAGCAAAAGGCCCGGGGCTAGCAAAAGGATAGTTAACAAACAATAGGATCCCTATCGAATGTCCAATGGTGCTCTATGTTCAAAGCCAAATAGTTATACCACCAACATGCCCGTGGACAAACAACGCCGGCTTTCGCCTTGCAGCTTCTCAGGTGTTTGATTTTTCCGTTTGGGCCCCACGTAAAACAATGGCAAGAAGTGGTTTGCATTTCCGGTTGCATTCCCCTGTGTGTGTGCATGACGATTCTACGCGAATTGAAGAGATGTTTTTCCTGCTTTATAAGGTACCAACACAAGGTGGCACGAGTGGAAACGATGGCTGTACACGGTTGGGGCCACTTCCATGATGTCTCCCCCTTTAATCCCAAATCTGGCACATTTGGCCAAGGAAAACGCAGAATCTCAATTCCTTGTCGGTGGCCTACAACCTCTTGGAACCCAGGCCATTGCGACGTATCGCGCGAGCATTGTCATTTTGCCCTCCGTGTCTGGTCTGCAGTGGAAAAGATTTGCCTAGACACGGTCACCATGGTGTGTGGTTGCTTGCTTACTTAATTCACATCTCCTCTTAGGCTATTGGCCTTGAACATGGCTGGCACCGCAATGGAGACTGAAGGGGTCATTGCTCTGGCAGAAGCTCGGATGCCAACTGTTGACATCATAAGTCTTGGTGAATTGTTGCGCAGTCCAGTCCACCCCCAAAAAAACGAAAGGATATGTGGGCTCCGGTTGCGCAAGGTACGTTTCACAAAGCATTAAACACAATGAAGAGAGTCTGAAAGTCCCTCACTAGGATGGCCTCATCAACTCCCAAGTCAGCAGTTTGCGTGAGCTGGACATCTCCGAGAACAGCATCTCCGAGCTTGAAGTGCCCTGTCTTTCGCATTCGTCCAAGATGTTGGATTGGAGACTGACAGACAATTGTAATTGGGCTGCGTGACTTCGCAGGCTGCCATGCATGTGGCCAAGATCATTGCCAAGACAAATTTGCAAACACTCCGCCTCAACCGAAATCCGCTTGGAGACGCAGGTTCGGCAGATTCCGTTGAGTCATGTTGGAGCCCTTCTGCAGTATCACACCTTCAACATCCGCTTCATAACATTTCATAACTATATATATTTATATTTATTCAATAATACTGTACTTGCAATGTAGGCGTCGTGTGCTTGCCAATGGCTGAAGCCTTTTTCAGGCCTCTTTTGACGGCTTATTCTCAGCAGCAGAATGCAGTTGAAATTCTATTGGGGCGGGAGTGGTCCACAGTTTGCCTTCGACGCCAGCAAACCCGAATTCCACCCTGGAACCTTGGAACCCTGGGTGCTGCTAGCTGCTGTGATCGGACTTCCACATTGGAACCCTGGGTGCTGTAAGTTCTGTGATTTCAGTTCCGCTTTGGAACTTGCTACAGTAGGCGCATCCTCTTCACGGAGCGCAGTTCAAGGTTCGCACGCAAGCACTTTTGCATTCTTGAAGCGCTTCCTGTCTCCAGTGCAAACCACTCCGGCTACGCAGCAAACAACATGCGCAACAGATCGCAACAGTGTGGCTGATATTGGCTGATATTTGTGTGTTTTGTTCCCACTCCTGCTCCCCGACTCCTGAAGACTGACTCGAGTACGATTTTTATGGATTCAAATGCCCAAGGCACATCAAGACACATAGTTGCAGTGATGTTGTATTCTCTCTCACTTAAGTTGCTACCTGCTGTTGGGATGCAAGACTGGCTTAGTTTTGCTTGGGTGCGGTTTGATCTATAATTAATGCCATAATGATCCATAATGAAGGGAAGGTAACAGTTTCATGCAGAAGTGCAATGAAGCACGCGCGATTTGACGAGCCAAAATGTGAGGAGTGTGTGAGCTTGCTGATGCACTGGGCTCTGAACCATGCCTCCTGCAGTGAAAAGATATGGAAAGATGTTTGAGGCATTTGGAGTTTCTTCTTGTACCAGTTCTTTTCGAAGAGGCTTGGCGGCCACCTGGCTGCCTGTGCAACCTAGGTCCAGCCCTGCGAAGCTTGGAGCTGGGAAGCTGCCGAGTAGGAAATTTGGGAGCAACAGTTCTGCTCCGGAGCTCAAGGCGCCACACGAATAGCATAGGTCAACATCACCCGGCCGTCAAAGTGTGCATTGTTGGAAATTGAAATGCATTGAAGAATGTATACATGTCCTCTCCAGATGTTCATTTCCGCGAGACGATTTATGTTCTTTGTTTGGTTTGGCCGATGATGCCGATGGATGATTACGGATGCCCCGGCCCCCTTTCATACATGTCTTTGTAGCGTCCTTGCTCCTAGTAGTAAGGCCAGGAGCCCCTAGTAGCGTTCCTGATTGCGGTCTCCCCTCCCTTGCGCTCATACAAAGTCAAGTTTCCTGAGATTTCTGGCGATAAGTCGTGATGATTGGCAGGCGCATGCAGTCTGCACGAATCTCACACGAGACGCTACACCGCAAAGCCTTTCATGCCCGGCAAAACAGCGAAAGGGCGAGCAAACAACCGGCAACAAACCGCCAATTAAAAACTTGCATCATCAGCGCGCCGAAAAGCTCAGAAAGCATGATACTGATATTATTTGATAATTGATCGGCTAACACCGACACCAGCTCAACGAAAGGAAGGGAGGTTTGTACATTTCCTCATGCTATATCAATTTTTCAAGTGGGGGCATGTCGCCCTACTTGTCTGCACTAGGGTGGACACTCCGATCGATGCAAACAATCTTAGACATTCTGAAATGAAATATAACCAGCATGTCTGCGACACAGGGGGCACTGGGCACACTGGGCAAGATTCGGGGCCGAATGTATGCACTTCATGGGGTACAACGGTGCAATGAAACAATTATGGCGCAAAATAAGAAAATCGTGGGGGCTCTACAAAAAGGTTTGTGGGGTGAATTGCGGCTTTAGATTTAGGGGAGAACCGTATGAAGCCATAGGGGTAGGAACCATGGGGGAGTTGCAGATGGCGATGGAGAGAGAGATGGGGGAGCTCCGCTCCTCTCAACTCCATTCAGGAGCTGCCTTTCGGGCTCAAGCCTCCCCTGCTTCTGGCTCGCATGTTTGCCACCAAGTCACAACCTGGGTAGCAGAGCTCCCAAGCTCCCACGGTGTGCTGCACGCACTTTCAGATGCTGCATCCGCCAAGCACCTGTGTCCGAACTTCCCAAGGCGATCGCCGCCGTGTTGTCGGACTGGCAATCTCTTCCACCACATCCCACTCTCTCCGAGGATTACCGAGTCGATCACCTCGATCAACTCTGCCCCTGCCGTTGGGAGGGGTCAGAGTCCGGTGGGACCAGAGCGGGCGCAAGGGGGCTTACCGTGTCGGTCTTCGTGGGTTGCATGAGTGCAGGGAACGGCCACTTGGATGATTTCCAAGCTATATCGGTGCTCCTCCAAGCAAGGTGATGACGTGAGCGCCACTCGATGACTCCAGCATTCCAGTACCCTGCACATGCATTTTCTAGATTCTGGGTGCTGTTCATTCTATACATGATGTTTCATTTACTGTAACATTTGCCCAGATTTCGGCTTCTACAATGGTTTGCGCTGACATACCTCATGAATCTAAAGCAGGATGTTGTTTGAAAGAATTGGGCATCCCCCATTGGACATACTCACTGGAATTTCAGCGATGGATATTTTTAAGATAGTGTTCTTTGGCGCCTTCACCCAGGGTTTGCCGCCAGGGAAAACGAAGTGCTCCTCGCCTTGAAATTGCCTCCCGACTGCCTTTGATCATGCAGCTCTTGTTATAGAAACAGTTGAGTTCGGGACAGTCAAAGGTCTGACAATTTCTTGGATGATTCTTTGGATATCACAATGGTGGAGGCTTGGTCCCCGTGATCTGAACGTGTTTGAGCACGCATGCTCAAAAGGAGAGTTGTTTGTTGTTTTATAAATGTTGGTTTACTGTAAGTTATGCTGTGTGTTTGTTCATTATTTGTTCCATGCCTGGCATGTGTGCTTCAAGTATGATGTAATGATGTAATGTGATCATATTTTACCGCAGGCGTTGCAGCACATCCAGCACTTGCAGCTCGAAAGCA